TAACTATGAAGAGAGGAGACAAGAAAATGTCTCTTAATTTTAATGTTTTTGTTTCTTTACTTTTGATTGCAGTCATATGTGATGCTGGCTGTGTATATGTGATGTTCCCACCGAATCAAAACCATTTGTACCAGAGTCAAAACTTTAAAATGTAGGAACCTTGTTTTTTCGGCTCGCCTTGTTTTTTTTTGCCCGCTCGCATTAGATTTGGAGTCTGCGGAGGATGTTATCCATAAAATTTACTTGCTGTGGCCTTAAGAATAAATTTGCAATTGCACCCTCCTAACACCGACTTTTCTTGTCATGCTAGCAAAGAAAGCTTAGTGATAAATCACGAAAATTTATAAAAAGGGTCCGTTCTATGTGCTTCTTCGCTAGACAAAACTTCCGTGGGTCGCAAATTGGCGCTTCTATGGCCCTGGATCTTCTCTTATTTCGGCCAATTTCTACTATTTTTCCAGCGATCCGCGGTGCCTGGTAGAGGCTAGTCTTTAATGGGTACACGCGGACAAGGTCACCGCATGGAGGTAGCTTCTACCTCCATGGTCACAGCATTGAAGTTGTAACGTTGTTCGTTATACCATGCTTATACTATAGCAGACAAGCAGACAATGGTGACAAGGGAAAACCAATAAAAATACGCGAACATACGAAGGGACAATGAACCATCATTTTCACTCGTTTCATCAGATGGGATGATTGTTGGTTTATATCTGAAACTCCAAACAGAGCATTCTCATGACCATTTTTCTAACTAGCACTCAACCAAGATTTTAAATCCTTGCTCCAGTCGAAGCCGCATACAATGCAACGCATATCAAATTTTACGACTCTGAGTAGGAATGGGCCCGGCACCATCTTTTTTGCATATATGGTAATTCTAGTTTTGCATTTATGCTTTCTTTCACTTCCCCAGAGCTTCGGCATAGTTACATCAATGTCAGGAAACTCAGGTTACGTCAACGGCATAACTCGGTGAACGTTTCTAGAAAACACTGTTGTTTTTCTCAGTCCTATTTTTTTCCAGAAAACTCCCAAGAATGAAGACCTCTGTGATTGTCCTGAGTCACTGTCGTCTCTTGGGTGACCTGACGTCCTGACCTCACATCCGGGAGTCAAACGACCGCAAACATCCCTACAATGGGCTCTTGCAAATTTTCCTCATGTTTCTTGTCCCTCTAGTTACGCTAAAGCTTGTTTCATTCATAAAGCCGTATTTCTGTAACTAGTAGCGTAAAACTATTGAAAAAGGCGTTTAGAGCTCACTTTTAGCTTAAAAAGGCGAGTTTTGACTTCTAACAGTGGGTAAATGAGCCTGATTACTCGTATTGAGATGTAAAACAGATTATTGAAGTCCGATTATCACGGTTGTGATAGAAAGAGAAACAAAGAATTTCATTTTTTGCGGGCGCTGTGAGTCAAACAAGGGGAGGGGGCGATCCTCATTGGGTGTTTGGTTGTACCAGCGGGCGGATCGGACGGCTTTTGTGTGGCAGCTATTCACATGTTGATCTGGGCGCCACGACTGCGGAGCCAGCCATCGCGCACGGGGTTATTTGTAGCCGGGCTGACCAAGATGGAGGTTGCTAAAGCTCCTTTCTCTCGTCTGGCGCTGGTTCTACTGGTTTTCTGTCTCCTCGTGAGGGAAACGCGCGCACAAGGTGAGTGAGTGAGGGTTATCTGCGAGCGCCGATGCGTTACGTAGTTTCTGGCGCCTCTCTTGCGCTCATTTCTCTTCGTCAGAACTTTTCTGACATTCACAAATTAATCGGCATATAATGTTGTGAGCAGACCGTCGCGATGGGCCAGCCGACTAGACTGACCAGTCCTGACCGCTTCTTTTCGTCCTGTCCGTGCTACCACCCGTGAGGGGTCAGTGATAGGGTGACCACCGCTTTTCTGTCATATTTTAGACCAAAACGTCCTTCTTTTTCATCCCATACGCGGCTGACACAGCCTTTCTTTGTCGCAACAGATGCTCGCTCCAAGAAGTCTTTCAAGGCCAATTTCGCGCCTCGCATTTTGTGTAAAGCCGCGGGGTCGTCAGAGTACAGGGCCTTGTTAGCGCTCACTAAAGAACACCGCTGTTTCCTCGCTCGTGCAACAAGAACACTTCAAGGTTGCGCACCAAATTATCGTCTCGTGTCGTTAGGTCGCCTTTTTTCTTTGTGTGACACCGGGGCACACTTCATTGTTGTTCGCTAGGTAATCTCAGGGGAACATGGTGGCGATTTTGTAACGCATCAACTTGAGAATTCTTCATTTACCACTAGAATAATGATTTCTTGAGCGTATCCAGACTCTTTAGAAGTGGTTTAAGGACCGTGTCTGTTCAAAGTTTTAAACGGTTAAAGGAAATGATTATAGACGCGAAGGTGTGTCACTCGAGGTAAGGTGAACTAAACCTTGCCTGAGGGCGAGACTTCTACTTAACCCCGCTTCTAAATACAGCTGGCTCCGGATTTATTCAGTCTCGCTAACGTTTTTAATGGTCTAGAGAAGAAAAGGACAAGGGGACGGTCTGTTGGGGAGGCCTGGAACTTTCAGTAGAGCGACGATTACTGTACATACACTTTGCGCTGCATTTTTTTGACAATTTTTGTCGCCTCTGTTCTTTTTCTTGTTCACACCCAACAACGAACAAGCTGGCATATAATTCGGTCTCACGGCCTTGAACACGGAAAGTCACGTTTGCTAATATGTCCTTTACTCGTGGGAAGTTAGACAGACTCTGGGTTTCATTCAACAAACTACGACAAACAGTTACCCATGTAGCAGAAATGCACCTCTGTTTTCGCGTGTTTTGTCTGTAAGTTGTCACTCTTCCTTGCAGAAAAATGCCAAGAATTGTAAACAAATTGTGGTTTTGCTTCACCAGTCGTTTAATAGACTCTACAAGTTCTGGTTATTATACAAGTTCTGGTTATGTTCATCTTTTTACTTGTGTTTCCAAAGTTATTTTCAGCTGTTCCTGTTTCTGATTTTTCGAGGCCGGAAAGGAACTAACCTGATATTTGACCTAATCTATTTCTTTTTCTTCTACAAGCGGACTGAACATTCCTTTCTAATTATATACATAGACAAAATCCCAAATATTCTTTGACACAATCATCTTTGATGCCCACACGTTTTCTTATCACAGAGCCTCGGGCATAAGTACAAACGATTTTTGATAGTGCGAATGTTTTTCTTCATTTAGCAGTCAACAGCTGAAATCAGTGCGTGGGCTTTTTTTTCTGCGTCACTTGTAATTTTTTTGCGTGGGTAAAAAAGTTTAGCTTTCCTAGTTGTCACGATATGTTGTTTTTGTCTAATTAGGTATTTTGTCCAATTAGGTTTGTAGACGCGTTGTTTTTAATGACAAGATTTTAATATGTACATGATTTTTATATGTAATCCGCTCTTGTTTTGTTTGAATAAAACTTTGTGACGACTCAGCTAACCCTAACAAGCCACAGAGATCAGAACTCGGTGTAATGTTAGCCTCCACCAGGCACCGCGGATTGCTGGAAAAATAGTAGAAATTGGCCAAAATAAAGGGAAAGTATGACAGAGAAGATCCAGGGCCATAGAAGCTCCAATTTGCGACCCCGTGGGTTTCTAACTAAACGGAACATACACGAAGATGTTGCGAGTGGTTTTCAATACACCATGGTGGAAACATACTACTAATGAACAGTTATACGGTTCGCTACCAAATGTAACTTCAGTAGTCAAATGTCGACGACTAAGCTTGGTCGGTCATGTAATACGTAGTGAAGAACCAGCCAGTAGGCTTCTACTCTGGAACCCTGATAATACCTGTAAGAGAAGAGTTGGACGCCCAAACATAACAGTTAAGAAACTTATTGAAACTGAAACTGGCTTGGAGGGACATGAACTTTTCTCAGTGATGTATGACAGACAGTTGTGGCGACCTAACTTTGTATGCTCCACCTCTACGGAGGATGAATGATGATGATGGGTTTCTATGGCCCTGGATCTTATTTCGGCCAATTTCTACTATTTTTCCAGCGATCCGTGGTGCCTGGTAGAGGCTAGTGTAATGTCACCTTCTTTCAACCACGATTTAAAATATCATCGTCGGCAACTGTAGCTCTCTTTGAAGTTTGTTCAGCTAGATCAAGGAGGTTAAAAACGCTCCTTGGTCTGATAAGAAGTACCGTCTTGTCTGCGTTCTTGTGTTTCCATCGTTTCGTAGAAAAACAACTCAATATAACAAACTAAACCTGTAAAAACACACATGATCAAGAGGAATTAGCGACAATAATCTAGTTAGCAAATTTGCCACAGACACAGTTATAATGTTTATCTACGTGCCAGAATCTAAACTACTGTCTGGGGAAGTTTATATGGCAAATTAGCCCAGTTTACAATGGGAATTATCTCCTGTGGAACAAACAATGGTAATTGTTATTGGATGAAGCGATATTTGCATATTCAAGAAAACAAAAGTTGTTGTTTTTTCCACCGTCCATGGGGAATGGGCAATCGATGAAGCGTTTCATTCCAGGGGAAAACGAGAGAAAAAATAGAATGGACAATTAAAATTCCTCAAGGGCAGAACAACTTCGGTTAACCGGTTATTGTCACAGAGCAGATGCCTCGCTCCAAACATCTGCTAGAACTTGGAGATTGTAGTCTCTACCAGACTCCTTTGCCGATTTCTACTATTTATTCAACCTGCAAAGGAGTCTGGTAGAGACTATGGAGATTGTGCCTGTATAAATGTCTCTCTCTCGAGACCAGTGTAGTGTTAGGATGTTAGCACATGTTCTAGTACATGTTAGCCTGGGTACCATCCTGGTTATAATAGTTTACGGTCCGCTCCCACAGTTCATAGTACCGCTAGTAAGTACATGTACATTGAAGCACGTACTGCACCTGTGCGAAACCCATAATGTTACTACAAGCAAGGATTATTATACCCTGCTACAAGTATTGTGTATGGCACTTCGACAGAACACGTATTCGTGTATTTAAGGATATAGCATTCCGTTTATATCTTTCAAATGTCATGTCGGAAAAGATGTCATCTCCAACGGACAAAATTCTGAAGCAACTTTGACATCAGACGAAAACCATGAAAAGTCCAACGTTTTGCGAAGGCGCAGTATGTTCTCCCGACCTGCTGTATCTTGATCATGACTACATGTACTAGTATGTGATATGGTACATGCATAACATTGACACCCGATTGTCTACGACAGAAGCCGAAGCCTGCACCGAAGACGAGTTCCAGTGCGGAAATGGCCGATGTATTCCCGACAGCTTTCAGTGCGACGGCGAGGACGACTGTCGGGACAACTCGGACGAGTTCAACTGTACCGGCTGTAGGAGGGGCAAGTTCATGTGCGAGGACGGAGGGTAAGGGTCAGGGGTTATGGTAGCCTCTACCAGGCTTCGGGAGGCTGCTGGAAAGAGTAGAGAATCAGATCGGTCAAATAGAGCGATAAAATGCCGAGGAAGCTGGCCCGCTAGAGAGTACATTGGGAGCGGCAAACTGTTTTCTCCAGCAGACCAACTCCCCTGGCATTCTATCTCTCTATTTGGCCGATTCAGCCGCTTTCCGAAGCCTGGTAGAGGCTAGGGTTAAGGATGACGCGGTAATGACGCGTGTTCGTAGACTGTGAAAGTTCTAAATGTAAAGTCTGGACCCTGGTTTCATCAATTGCAAGACAAAAAATGTAACTCATTGTCATTACTTGAACTTAAGAAAAATAACTGAAAGCGGAGGGATCTCAAGGATTTTTTTTTGCTATTTCAGGTGTCTGCCGAGCATCTTCCGTTGCGACGGTATCGGCGACTGCGATGACGACTCGGACGAAACCAACTGTCGGTTAGGATTCTTGGACACGCTAGGTGGCGTTTTTGATGAGCTTACCACCACGCAGACCGTGCCCAGGCCGTACCCCGTCACGTCCGTCCCGCCCAGCTCGGTACTGGAGCAGGGGACGGTGCTGGCGGTCTGTACGGACCAGGAGTTCACCTGTGCCGACGGGAGCCGCTGTGTGCCCCGCCTGTTTGTCTGCGATGGCGAGAGGGACTGTGCCGACAACAGCGACGAGATGGACTGCCGTAAGTCATTTTGCGTGAAGAACTTTTCATACGTTTACATACTATTTGTTTGTTTGTTTGTTTGTTTTTCTTTATTCATGATCTATCTGACCAATTCTCGAAGTCTTATGCGTCTGATATTGCTTATTTTGGTTCCAAATGTTGCTTTTTTTGACAGTGGACTGTTGTTGAATAAAATGACAGTTTTTACTTTATTTAACCAGAGTATATATATATATCGGTGACTGCCTGTCATCTTCCTCACTCAGGGCAATTCTGTGACAGCTTCACATTGCACAGAACAGATGGATGCGTTCCGAAACGCAAAGTATTAAGAAATATACACAGTTACAGGGAACGGTATCTACAATGCGGTCCCCCAAACGTACGGGAGTGTAATATATTGTTGTAAAGTTTTTTATATATATATATTCCGAAACATGCAATCACAAGACGTGGTGACGGCACACTCAAGTTTTTTCAACTTATATTAATGCCGCCACCAACACAGGGACAGTGCAATACTCATTTACACATGAGCGAAGTGAGGAAAGTCGTGTAAAGTGCCTTTCCCAAGGGCACAAGATCGGTGGCATGTCAGGACTCGAACCCGGGGCCTCTGGTTCCGAGTCGAGAACGCTGCCGCTACGCCACACGACCCCACGTTGTAATGTTGTGCGTGTTGTTTTCAGCTCCGAAGACGTGCGGTCAGGACCGGTTCACGTGCGGCAGTGGAGACTGCATCCCCCGGGCCTGGACGTGTGACCGGGACGTGGACTGCGCGGACGGGTCGGACGAGTCTGAAGAACTGTGTCAAGGTAACGCAGCTGCCGGTATTCACCAACAAACTGGACAAATTCTTCGCCTTCTTTTGGTCAATTTTACCCTTCGAATTCCTCCAAGCCCCAGGCGGAGACCAGGGCTCTCCTCGAGGAATGAAGCAAGAGTGCTCCCCCTCTCCCCCAAATCCTAGCACCCCTCCCAAAATGTAAAAATTTAGGGTTTCTCTAAGTATTTCGATGAAAATTCGCTGATTTTTTCCTCAGGCGATTAGGCAGCAATTCTCCCCTATGAATTTCTGTGAAGACTCCTGGAGACTATCTCGGCAACCTGTTACTAGTCAAGCGGTGTACAGAGCATCGGTATCAAACCATTAGCCAGAAAGAGAACAACCAACCCCAGCATCCCTTTCCCATTATTTCTGAACTCCCAGTCCGTTCCTCCACTCATCCCCCAGACGACTGTCTCCCTTCACCGCCTCCGTGGCCTAGACAACCGCCCTGACCACCCAAGAGTTCCTTAATGCGTATTCAATGCGCTGTTCGGCGGCTATATATGGATACATGTATCTGGACGCATTGTCCAGTGTACTGTGTGTCTAAATGCAGAATCTCGTAATGTTAGGCTTTAGATTGTAACACAGTCAGCATGTATTTGCCTTGCTAATGGATGAGGATATAAAATAACGCTTTGCAACTGCACACAACGCCTTGGGAACACAACGTTAAAGTTATTCATGTACAAACCACAAAAGTGTGTCGTTTGATAGATGGAATGTATATTGGCTGGAGAGCCAAGGGGATAGGCTATGATGATGGATGGAATGTTTTAGGAGTGTGTACTTTCTTACCTTACCTTAGACCTTAGGGCCTCCTGTGCGTACAGGCACATTGGGCAGCAAGTTTCCATCTGCGTCAAGTAGCTGCTGCCTTCTCGGCCTCTTCCCAGGCAATGTTGGTCCTCTTGAGGTCCTTCTGAAAGGTTCTTCGCCAGGTGTTCTTTGGCCGACCTCTCTTCCTTCTGCCCCCTGTTGGCACCCAGGTCATGGCCTTCTTTGAGTGGCGCTGGCTTGGTAGGCGTAGGATGTGGCCTGCCAGTTGCATCCTCTTGCCTGTTGTAGTGTCCCCCAAGGGTTGGGTCTTTGCCCTTCTGAGAATCTCCTCGTTAGTGATGTGGTCTTGCCATTTTACTTTCAAGATTCTTCTGAGGTTCCTCTGGTAAAACACATCCAGCTTAGTTTAGCTGTGCACGTCCATGTTTACTATCTACTACTATCTAATGTTGATACATGTATTACATTTTGTTGACGTGGTGTTGCATTTCTCTTCTTTCTTAACACCACAGAGAGAAACTGCACCGAGAAGGAATACCGATGTGAGAACTCCACCAAGTGTGTCCATCTTACCTGGTTCTGCGATGGCGACAAGGATTGTCGGGAGGGCGAGGATGAGGCGGATTGTGGTAAGTCTGAATGTTTTTTGTTGGACATATGTACTAGCTTCTTTTATATCGATATTTTAGACTATGAAATGATATTCTACAAAGATTGCATTTTCTGCAGAAGTAAGGATCGCAAACAATGGATCCCCTGGTCTTCAAGATATCTTAGAGCTAAGGAACAACTGTCTTCAAGATTATAATGTTATTTTTAAATTTCCTATGTTAGTGACGTCTTCTTATTTGTTGACACAGACCAACAGGAGTCCAGGCCCTGCGCCGACGGAGACTGGCGCTGTGATGCAGGAAAGTGCATTTCCGCCGGGTGGCGCTGTGACGGCGAGCAGGACTGCACGGACGGAACCGACGAGGAATCCTGCGAACCCCGGCTCCGCGCACAGAACACGACATCACTGGACATCCCTGCACAGAGTAACATGACACTGGGAGTCAATGACACCGGTAGGACACATTCTGTGTTTCTAAAAATTAATTTCTAAATTAACTGTTAAGATACACTTAATTTGCTGTTCTCGTTTTGTGCGTTCACGTAGCCTCTACCAGGCTTCGGGAGGCGGCTGAAAAGAGTAGAAATCGGCCAAATAGAGATATAACATGCCAAGGAAGTTGGTCAGCTCTAGAGTACAGTTTGCCGCTCCCGGCATGTTATATATCTATTTGGCCGATTTCTACTCTTTCCAACCGCCTCCCGAAGCCTGGTAGAGGCTACGTTCACGAACGACAGCTCACAGACGCTCTGAAACACTAATTTTGCGCCTAGTCTATACTTTTATTCCTCGAAACAACTTTAAGCGCGTACAATACAAAGTACATGTATTAGCTCTTCTTTTCATCAAGCCGGCCCCAGCCGACCCTAAGCGCACGAGAGACCATAACAGCTGTAACTTGTGCAGTCTAAACAGATACAAGTGTGCTGAATGTGGTTGAGACTAGTGCAAACAAGAATTTGTCCACCTCTGTCGAATTCGATGAAAGGGTCTTATTTTTCCATCTGTCTGCTTTAATCGCTTACCGGTTCCTTGACCGGGGACGGTTGTCAGACTAACTAAATAACGGAGTACACCATACATGTACGTACATGTAGTTCTCTCCATCTATGTCTCTCGTATGTTTCGTAGCGAAACTTTCTGGGCCTACTGAGATCTTGTCAGTCATTTCTTAACACCCCATTTCCACCAGAGGCTGCGATCGCTGAGTGGCCAGACAGTTGTAAGGTCACACAATGTATTTTATATATGAAGAATATTCTAATCTTTCCACGCTTAGTATGTCTTGTTGTCGTTTAAGATTTTAAGGTACTAAATAACCCACCCTGAGGACTTTTGGGGTGTTCTAAAAGTACATGTTGCAGTTAAGTACGGACTTTGAATTTTTGTCACAAAGTATCTTGTTGCAAGATGATAATTTATGCAAAATTTTATGACGTCACGATGACATCATCAATAATTATGAGGCCATGCCCATTTTTAGAAAAATAGCATTTTCAGGCTAGTGCTTCAGTAAAAAGTCACAATATTTTAGTGCATCATAGAATTCAACTATAAAACCAAGGATCACACGCTCTTCTACTGATCAGACCGACTCCAGAGAAGCCTTATGTTTTGTTCCTTGAGACAGAACACTTGTGCCTGACGGAGACGTCTTACCTCGCGTCCTTGAAGCGACAAGATCATCTGTCAGTGTCAGGTCAGGTGGCCAGGATTAGGTCAGTCTGCAATGTTAGACGTGTGAGAGTGGGTGGGTAAGACCTTGCGGAATGCAGAGCTTGTAAAACGTTAATTCGTTCGTTGTATGAGAGGTTTAGAAACGCACTTTCGTGTGATAAGTTTTTGGCCGGATTATTTCGAACTTGTCCCCAACTTTATAGTGAACATGTTCTTGAATACGGCTTGTAAAGCTTTTTGTAGTTTGTACCATAATAAGTGAAGAAGTCAAGCATAACACAAAACACACTGTGGGTTAATCATCAAGCAGATGCTAGGATGGAAAATCGTAAACTTTCTAGGTACCTGCACCGTTTTTCTGAATTCGAACCTGACTTACAACGTTTAGGAGTGGCCCATTCATAAAAGCTTTCATATAGGACAAGAACACATCTTCGTGTATTCGCTACTGTAGTGTCGCATGTAGCGAGATTTTGTTTCTTTTCTTTCCACCTGTGCCAAACCAAAAAATCCACCCCTAATCCTTCCAAGGAAGCGGTGCAAGACGCGTCTAATTATAGACAGATAAACATCGTCAAGGGGAGTACACAACAAGTCAGGTATGCAGCGAAGTAAGGAGCCGCCGGCCCGAATAGCAGTCCCTTTTCCTGTCGGCTATCTATCTTAGAGCCTTAGCCACATTCCTGAAAGTTCACAACAAAGTTTTGTTCAAAAGTTCAACAATTGCTCCCCAGTTCTGACCTTTTTAAGAGAATCTATCGTGAAAACATTCAGAATGAAGTCAACACTTTTTAGACAGATGCAGCAGAGTTTTACTACAATTTTAGTCGTAGGCATGTTTAGATGACGTCATGAGGCAAAAATTCCTGCACAGCACTCCAGTAGTGAGATGTATCGCTGAGTTTGATTGGCTAAAAAGCGCGGGATTTTTAGTACGTGAAGTCACCAGTAGGCGTGACCCTTCCCCCCTGTTCTGTGATGTATAACGGCAATTTCTCAAGGTCACCTGTCCACGAAAGAACGCCCCTAGCGTGTAGTAAACAGAGCGCGGTACGACAGAATTTGTCTAAGCGTTTATCGCACGATCTCTCCGCTTCCTGTACGGTTTCCTTGTGCGATTTCCCCTAGAAACGGCGGAAACCGACCTGTCTGCGCCGACCGGTTTATCAGATGTGTGTCTGAAAACATTCAGATAACAACAACAACAACTGAAGAAGGATGGAGAGCTTCAACAGTTTTTTTTTCTCTCAAAAATCTGACTGTGCTTTAGTTTAGGATGAAGAAGAGATATTCTCCAAGCAGAGGTTTGGATTTTGGCTTATTTTTGGCGTGTTTTGGGCATGTTTTTAGGCTTTTGTCTGGGTTTCTTTGGTTGGCGTAAAAAAATCCCAGTGCAAAAAAAAAACCCAATTTAAAAAAAGCCTAAAAACACGCCAAAAAATAAGCCAAAACCCCAAACCTCTGCTTGGAGAGTGAAGAAGATAGTGTACAAAGTTGACGCCCTTGGAAGTGGACGCGCTAGACTCAATATCACTGCTAACAATACAGCTATCTCCAACAAGAGACGCCGCCTTATCGTCCTATACAAGCATCTAAATGACCATCGGCTACTCAGTACAAACAGACAGTTAGCATATTTGCCCCGCTCTTTGTTGTACGGTCGGTGCAAATATAACCAAGCTTCCTTTTCTTTACAGTTACAGAACCCCCCTCCCTGAAGTCCACTCGCCTTTGATTTACCCTGACCAGCATGTGCGGTATTTTGGAGCAATCAGTTTGTCTATAAATCTCGCGAAAGCACAAACTTCTAGCCTCAAGTGTTACATTTCTGTTGAATGTATGCAGAGTGGTGCCGGGTACAGTGATGGGAAAAAATTGCTTACGCAGCAAAGTGTGCGAAGCTAGGATCATCTTTTATCAACGGTGTTGTTTGACACACCTTTTCACGATAATCCCTCATTACACACTTCAGATAGTATGAAAGATATTCTGATGAGGTGATTTAAAAGCTGTACTGTCACACCTGTATTTAAGTACCTGGTGCATATCGACATTTTCTCAGAACAATGCAAGGTGAATCCCTGAGGAATTCTGGAATGGGGCTACGTCACATTTCAGTTCCTTTGCTTCCTGATTGTACAGAATTCCTTGCAAATTGTATTCCTTCCCCAGCTCGCGCCGTTACTCAAACGTCACATCACACAACTTCACACAGAAGCCGCCTCAGCCAAGGCCCCACAGGTAGCACTTCGTACGCGCGGAATGTGTCTCCTTTTAATCTCAGTTCCCATTTATTGAAAACTCGCCGTATTGTCCACGTTGAGCCGCATAAAGACCATGATTTAACAATTACACGGTCCTGGTTATCCTTTGATTGGCACAACGCTACATGTGGCAGATTTTTCAACC